TTACCAACAGCAACAACAGATCTCTTAGTTTCTTGATTTACCTCCATTGTTTTGGTAGTCTTGTCTGACTTTATTACCTAATAAAAATTTTAACTTTTTAAAAAAGCATTTAAAGTTTATAAAGTGAGAAGAATTTGCATCCATTTTACGTTACTTCTTATGAACTTTTAGGGTTAGCTGTCTGATTGCCTAGTAGGTGTGGGAGCCTGGTGGCTCCATATGATAAGCCTGCTAGCCGTTCCATGGGAGAAAGATGAGGCTTTCTGCTCCCGTGAAGATTTAAAGCCTTGAAAACTCTATACAGGGTAGCTAGGAGTGGAAACCAAGTTGATGGTACTTAACAACAACTCTGTGTTGGCTCAGGCTCTTTATTTAGGTTTGGTACACCAAAAACCGCCTCCAAGGACAGGAAAACACAGATCTTTTAGCAGGTAATTGCAGTGTAAAATGCAATCCGTGGAATTTTCCTGATGTGTACGTGTAGCTGTGGAAAGGCATGTTTGACTTTCTCGGGGGTGGAGCCAGGCAAGTGTCTCACGGGAGCTTGTAATAGTGTTTTTAAAGGAGGACTTGCTGGAAGGACTTGAGCAGAAGAAATGGCATTTGCTTGTTGTTGGGATTCTAAAAGCAGCTGGTAGGTTTGACCACCCACCTTGCAGTTACCAGTCCAGTGCTCATCCCGACTATGCCCATGACAGGTAAGAAAGAAGAAGTTTGAGGACAATGTATATGAGAAGCAGCAAGACTTTGTGCTCATTAACAGATTTCTGTTCAACCTCCTCCTGGGAATGCCAATTAAATTCCAGTTACTAGGTAGTCTTGTTTCTCCCTCCTTTGGAGGAGAATTTCTATAACAGGGAATGTGGATGGACTTGTAGAAGAGCAGTAGAGCCTGAGTTGTCTTTACTTTAGAAATGGAGGCATTTCCTCCCCAGTGACCTTCTGCCTTCATAGACTGACTCTCTTGGCTGCTGCAAGAGAGGAAAGAGGGGTGCACAGAGGCTTTGTGGTTTAGGTTCTGGCCTTTCTGGAAAGTGGGCAATAGAGTAGATATTTCTTCATTTCTATAACATTTTCTGAGCCCTCATATAGAAAAGTACTTTACTTTTATGAGTAGATGAAGCAAGCCAAGCTTGTAATCCCAAATTCCAGACACCAGAATTGAAGGCTGGCTTTAGACTGGTCTGTCTTTTTGCTGCACCAAAGGCCTAATCCTACGTCACAGGCTTACATAATGGTCTTTCCCATCACTTTTGACTATCTGTGGCTTGTTGCTTCCACTCCATTAAACATTCACTCTGTGCACTGCTTGGTCTTCCTTAGGGATTCTGGGAATTGAGAACTGTTAGGTACCATCTAGTTGGTACCACAACAGAATGAAACATTGCCTGGAACAGCACCAACCTCACAATCGTTGCTACGTTTGAGTTCATTGCTGCTGCCGTTATGCCAATCCATGTAGTTTGGAGTCTTCCTCTTTTTCTCCGACCCTCCACTTTACCAAACGTGATATCCTTCTCCAGGGACTGTTCCCTCCTGACAATAAGTCTGAAGTATGAGAGATGAAGTCTGGCCGTCTTGGCTTTCAAGGAGCATTCTGGCTATACTTCTTCCAACACAGATTGGTTTGTTCTTTGGACAGTTTATGAATCTCCCTGTGATTCCTCATTAAATCTTAAATTTCACAAATGAATGTAGCAAGAATATTTGATGTACGCATACAGTGAAAAAAAAAATATTCATTTAAATGTCCAAAGACACATTTGGGCCAGCCAGCCTCCTGCCCACCAGCACATAGCCTTACTCAGTTCATGGGTCTAGAGAATGCAGATGCTCTGTCTCTCCATGTCACTGCCTCTGTCACTTTCTCTGCTGACTGCTTTTCTAGGGAGGACCTCATGCTCCACTCATGCTCTTCCTTTTTGATGTTCCTCGGCTCGTCTGTTCTGGAAATGAAAGTTTAACTACGCCCCTATTTTAGTTACGTAACTTCTATAATTACAGTTGTGACCATCACAATTAATCCTGCTAGCAGTTACTCACCGTTGAATCATAAAATCGTATCAGCATCTTCCCCCACTCCCTTTCACCAGGTCCATCTGGCAAAGAGGAAACCTATTCAGTGGGTATTCTACCTTACCCCGCTCATTCTGAAACTAGGCACGCTCATGTAAGCATGTAAGCCAGTCAGGTCATGCTTTTATAGTGCCCCCATTTTTGATAGCCAATGTCTAAATTGCCTGTCCCTGTCAAACCAATACCTTGAGGAAGAAACAATCTTGTTCCTTCATATGAAGAATCTTCTATTCCAGTTGAAATTTTGAGCAACTGCATCCATAAGCTAAAGGCCAGTTCATCAGATTGCAGCAATTTACACTTGTTCACAGTTTCAGACATCTAGTCGGATTATGGTCAGCTCAGCCCTAGCCATCCAAACTAGGTCAGATGGTGCGCCATTGTGAGAGTTCATGTATACCTCCTTGCACTTCAGACTAGCTGGGCCCTTCACTCTCAGCCCCCATGGGCTTAGGAGTGCACACAACTCCTTAAAGTTCAGACCAGTTACCCACTCCTCTTGTCTCTCTCATCAAGAATTCAGTGGGTGCCAGTGGAACATGCTCCCTGTGTCAGGATTCTTCATCTTCATCTGATTGAGTTTTGGTCATCAAGTCTAGGCTGATCTTTAAACAATATGTCATCAGTTAAGTGTTTAGTTAGTATGATCAATTTGTTTTCAACCACTAGGCACCTTTTTAGGTAACGTCTAACTTTTTGAACAGTGTGTCCAACTGTCTATGTGGAAAATAAATCCACTGGTTTCCCTGAATTTCTAATTCGTATAAAAAATTTCCTGTAAATGATTTTCTTTATTAATGCATACATCACATTAAAAAATCATTGAACCTTTCCTTGATGGCTCAGGGTCATCATTCTGACTGAGCACTTGAGTTGTACTGCCACTGAATTCAAAGCATTTTGGATTGAGAGTTTCTCTACATGTGTGTTTGCCTTTTATATAGTTTCTAAAAAGAGGAAGACTCCCAGAGAGATGGATTGGCAAAGTGGCAGCATCAATAGGATTAAGCATGGTAACAATAGTGAGGTTGGTCCACGATTGGTCAGTGTTTCGTTCTACTGTGCGTAAGGTCACTATGAGTCAGTGCCGACTCTATGGCATCTAACAAAAACAACAGCGACAATTTAGCTATCAGATTGCCAGCAGTCACATCTCAATCACATGGCTATGCTGAACTCCTGCACTGCCCTATGTTACCCGACTCCTCACCACATGGTTTTGGTCCCAAGTCCAGGTTGTTACATGAAAATGAAGGAGGACTTCATCATTACATCATTGCCAGATTTCATCATTACATAACTGTGAAAGCACTGAGAAGCATGGTCCAACCAGCACAGCTAGCATTATTCACACTTCACTCCTTAAGGTTCAGTACTCCCAAATGTATACTGTTGCTGCACAAACTGAAATGTTGGGTAATGAGATAGTTGATAAGTGAAGAGAAGGTGTCATTATTTACTCCTAATCTGTTTAGGAAATCAGATAAATAAGCTTGCTAGGTTTGTTTCCATAGGGTAAGTAAAAGGACTGAATGGGGCTCTTAGAGCACAGTTTTTAAAATTCTACTATTGGCTGCTCAGTATGTATGTTCCCTATTCCTCTTTCCCTTTCTTGGAAGGCAATTCTATATAGCTGTTTGTGATGAAAAATTACCTTCCCAGTGTAGATGGAATTTACAGTATGTCATTATGTGACATCTTGATTACATTTGGACATTATAAATGACATTTGAAAATATAAGCTCTTTGAAGGATAGCAAGTGTCCATTATCTCTGTGCCTTTTCTTCCTTACAGTTTCCGCTGTGGTATCTAGTACAGCAACATACAGAGTAATTGCTGTATTATTTCATTATTTTAAAGTTGCGTAGGTAATATGTGCAATGATTGCAGTTTCTCTGGCCACAAAATTGTCTGATGATACTATAAGATTATAAAAAGAATGAATATTAAGTGTTGGGTGAAATACTGGCAGTTAGGATTCCATAAGGTCAGCGGTTCAAATCCACCAGCTGCTCCTCAGAAACCCTGTACAGGTCGCTATAAGTCAGGAGTGACTCGATGGCATTTAACAACATGCTTCAATGAATTTTCTGTTTACACAGTACTTACTGTTTTCCAGTGTTCTTTATTTCTTTACATAAATCCAAGTATCCATATGCTTTCAGTTTCCTTTCACTAAAGATCTTTATCATTTCTTCGAGTATAGGTCTGCTATGTTTGGAATATGAAAATATGCTTAGAATATTAAAAGGTTAGTAAACTTATGAAAAATATTCAATCTCCCTAAAAATTGTAATGTAGAAGAAATTCCATGTTTTTACTTCCCAGGTTGAATAAAGTTTCAGAATTATACCTGACTGATGTCAAAAGGATAGGGAAATGGTCACTTCTTCACATGGCTTCTGAGGATGAGTTTGACAGCCACACTCTTTCGCACAGTAATAGTGCTGATAAGGATTACTTGGCTTAATTGTTTTTGTTGTTGTTAAGTGCCATCAAGTTAGGTCCAACTCTTAGCGAGCCTGTATGGGGTTTCTGAGGAGCAGTTGGTGAGCTTGAACTGCTGACCTTGCAGTTTAAACCGACCTTGCAATCCAGCGCATTAACCCACAGTGCCACTTGTCGTAATACTTTTTGTAATTTAAACAAAAATATATGTAGGAAGACTTGAAATAGTTTCTTAATAAACGCCATACTTACCAGTAAAGGAGTGTTTCAGTTATAGTCAAAATACTTTATAAGCATTAAAATGGTATTTATGGAAAATATTTTATCACACAGGAAAAACTAGCTTCTCGTGCTATTTGAAGAACTATTATTCTGACATAATATATAATCTCTTTGGCAATTAATAAAAATACTGTTTTTAAGTGATAATTTTCTAATCTTTTTTTTCATAATGTCTTCTGTGCTTACTTTTCAGATAAAAATTTTGATGATGAAGATTCTGTAGATGGTAATAGACCTTCCTCTGCCAGTTCTACATCATCCAAGGCTCCCCCGACGTCACGGAGAAATGTTGGAATGGGCACCACCCGTCGACTTGGGTCATCTACTCTTGGGTCCAAGTCTTCAGGTCAGACCAAGTTCTCTGTGGTGTTCTGGGGCTGGTTTGTCAGACTTTAAACCAAAAGTGGACACCACTTGCTTTCTCCTCATATATGTTAGAAATGAAGTAATTTCATTTGTAGTGTGCTTTCTGCTAGCTAGTCTTTATGTTAGTACTGTGCTGCTGATGCTAATGAGCTGGTAGGGTATAGGTCTGATCTGCTGTGTTTACTGGTGCCACTTTTTGGAAGGCATAAGATGTAGGCTAATAAAGGCACCACAGAGGAATGCTGAGCTAGAACAGAATGAGAGTGTGCCCTGATGGCTTTATATGATGATTTGTAAACATTAACAGCAGAAACCACTATGAGCATGGGACTTCTTTAGCTCATTTCTATTTATGAAGACTCTCAGTATCCCAAAGTCAGAATGTACCTTCTGTCTTTAAAATGTGTGCTGTTCTTACAAGTAGGATTGTTGTTTATGAGGCCACTATGGATGTTGAGTTAAGTAAATGTTACAGGATTTGGATTTGTTAGTAGGATTCCCTGAGACTTTGAAATTGATTTACCAAGATTTCATCCATAAGTCCCTCAAAGCCCCTACCCTGAATCTGTATACATTGACTCCATGTCATATACACAACTCTCATTTTACTGTCAACATTTTAAATTTGTATTCAGATTTTTTACTTTTTACCTGAAAAATTCTGTGGCACTGCTTTCAGAACTGTTCTTACTGTTGGTGTTAGGTGGCCTGGAGGTCAGCTGCAACTCATAACGATCCTGTGCAAAACAGAATGAAATACTGTTTGGTCCTTTGCCATCCTCACAATTGTTACCTCTGAGCCCATTGTTTCTGCCATTGTATCACTACATCTCGTTGAGGTGCTCTTCCTGTTTTTCACTGACCCTCCATTGTTTTAAGCATTTAACCTTCTCCAGGGCCTAACAATATGTCCAAAGTATGAGAGACAAAATCTCGCCATTCTAGTTTTTAAGGAATATCTGGCTGTACTTCTTCCAAGACAGATTTGCTTGTTTTCTTGGCATTGCATGGTATTTTAAATACTCTTCTCCAATATCGTAATTCAAATATATCAATTCTTTTGCATTCTTTCTTATTCATTATCCAACTTCCTCATGCACCTGACAAAGATTGAAAATATTACGGATTAGGTTAGGTGCACCTTCGTCTTCAAAGTGACATCTTACATCTTGAACACTTTAAAAAGGTCTTTTGCAGCAGATTTGCCTAATACACAGTGCCGTTTGATTTCTTAACTGCTTTTTCCATGAGTGTAGATCGTGGATTTAAGCAAAATTAAGTCTTTGACAATTTCAGTGTTTCCTCCATTTATCGTGATGTTATTTATTCATCCAGTTGGGGGGAGTTTTGTTTCTTTACATTGAGGTGCAGTTCATACTGAAAGCTGTAGTCTTTGATTTTATGAGTATTTCAAGTCTTCTTCACTTTAGCAAGCAAGGTTGTATCTCCACATATTGCAGGCAAGTTGTTAATGAGTCTTCCTCTAATCCTGATGTTATGTTCTTTGTAAAAGCCAGCCTCTCGGATATTTTTCTCAGCATGTGGATTGAATATGCCTGGTGGAAGCTTGCCTTTTGTGTTGCTGAAAAAAAAAAGATATTTTCAATGAAGAAATCATTGGTCTTAAAAAATTCTATCATACCAGCATCATCTCTATCACTGAGGTCATATTTTCTAACTATGGATCCTTCTTCTTTATTACTAACTGTGACATTCTGATCACCTGTGCATCTTGTTTGCATGTTTGATCCATTTTAGTTGGTAGAATTCAATTGTGGCATCACTGCCTTTAAGGGTATGTGTATACATTTGAATAGTGGTATTAACCAGTCACCCTTTTAGGCGTTTGGATTGTGCCCTGTCATGGACAGCATTGTACTTCAAGATAGACCTTGAAATGCTCTTTTTTGACCATGAATGTGATGCCATTTCTCTTCTATTTGTCTAATTAAAAATTGCCAATACCTGTCCATTTCAGGTTCCTGATGCCCAAGGTATCATTATGTATTGCGTTTCATTTTCGATGACTTCGGTTTCCTAGATTCATACTTCATACATTCCATGTTCCGGTTATTAATGGATATTTGCAACAGTTTCTTCTCATTTTGAGTTGTGCCCTGTCAGCAAATTAAGGCAAGAAGGCTTTGCTCTATCTACGTCATTAAAGTCAGCTGTACTATGAGGAGGCAGCTACTGCTATGAGTATTTTTGAGTGCCTACCAACTTGAGGGGCTCATCTTAAGGCACTGTATCAGCGTTGCACTGTTGTTCATAAGGTTTTCATTGGCTAACCATTCAGAAATCGTCTGCCTCTCCTTCTTCCTACTCTGTCTCAGTATGGAAGCTCTGCTGAGCCCTGCTCACCGTAGGTGACCCTGCTGGTATTTAAAATACCAGTGGCAGGCATAGCTTCCCACATTGCAGCAGTACACCAGACAGATGAGTGGTGCAGGTTTACTGCTAATTGGACTTCTGAGCTTATGAGTATTCAGTGAGGTAAAAAGCCAGTGCGGATGGGCTAAGTGTAAGTGGGAAGAAAGTGTTCTTGTTAACACACTGTCTCTGATGATGGTCTTTCATGAATTCGAAACTGACACTATGATCTTGTTCTGGAGATTGGTGCCACTGTGGCTCCTGTGCTTCGTGGTTGGTAATGAAGGCGTTGCACTGACTGCAGAATCAGCCTCTTCCTTCCCACTGTCCCTCACCCTTGTCCCATCAGTCCTGTCATCCTCTTCAGCACTCTCATCCTGTACCCAGGGACTTCCCTGTAGAACTTTTCTGATCAGATTCTTGAGCTCTCAGGGATGGCTGTTGGTCTGAGGTCTTGGCAGAGTGTGACACACGGTGTCTTGCAATGGGGAGGTGCTCAGTGTACCTCTGCATAGTTGAATTTAACCCTTATACAAATATAGACACAAAAATCGATTGTCTGTTAATAGTTGTCTTTCCAACCACAGGGTGCGTGATCTTCAGGAAGAGTGATACTACTCATTTACTGTTACTGGAAACTGTCTTTAAAACCCTTTTGTGTTTAGGGAGCCCACCAGGACCCAAACACCAGATAACATGACTCATAAGAAAAGCAGTCAATCTGCTCAGTATAAACCATTAATAGGGGACACAAGTGACCACAGACATTGATTTTGAGACCGCTAACACCTTAAAATAAAAGTCTAATATCTGGCACCTTGATTTTGTGTATGAAGCGGTATTCATATTAGAGGGAAAAAAAGTAATTTTATAAAAAAATGATAGTAATTGACTTGTAATTAAAAGGGAACTTCAAAAAGTTTATGCAAATATTTTATTACCTTTCAATTCCATTTTTCCACAAACTTATTGAAATTCATTCATATAAAATATAGTTAATTTAGTTACCTTTATGAAGGAAATTTGCAATCAATTCATAAAGACAAAATTGGTACAATTATCAAATTATAATGTGTTCAGGGAAATTGTAATGTTTTGATACAAGTATAAAATGAAACTTACACTCTTTAGGATTTGTTTGGATATTTAAAATTTTTGCTATTATAGATTCCTTATAGTAACAATCTAATGTATTCTTTAAAAGAGTGTAATTTTATGTTATATGTGTTCATTAGAAATTTTTCAAAAGATCTATATACTGACGCAATATCAATCCTTTAAGGACATTGAAGTCCAGACTCTCCCTGCCTAACCAGGTAGTCTCTATGAATGTCTTTAACTTTGTCTGTTGATTGGTTATATCTTATCCTTCTCTAGTGTGCTTTATGAAGTCCTGGTGTAATGCTATAGGATAGACACTTGGTCTGCTAACCACAATGTTGGTGGGTTCAAACCCACCAGCCACTTCTTGGAAATCACCCTATACAGGGTTGCTGTGAGTCAGAACTGACTTGACAGCATGTAACAACAACAGCAAATGTGTTTATTCATTGTTTGATACACATTAAGTTTTTAATTAATCTTTTTATAGCTACAAAAGAAGGAGCTGGTGCTGTTGATGAAGAGGACTTTATTAAAGCATTTGATGATGTACCTGTTGTACAGGTGAGTGAGGCTATTTGAATATGACTGAAAATAAGGGTCAGCTAGTTCTTGTTTCATGTTTTGGATATGCTTTCTGTGAAATCCTTTACTAGGGCAGCTAATTGTAACTGTCAGTACTATCTGTGGTGCAGACTAGAAAGTGTTGGAGTTTTGTTTAGCTGAAATGAAGAACAAAAATTAAGGCCCAAGATAACTTCTCAGTAAGAACTGGGCGTAAGTTCATTGCTCTTGGAATAAGTTTGAGGGGCAGTTCACATGAAAGAGAAATGGTTAGGGTAGAAGAGAGAAGAAAGAAAGAAGATTAGGAATTTTTCTTAGAAAACGTATTATTTGGAGGATTTGGGTGTTTGAAAAAGTTGTAGAAAATGGTTTAATAAAAGCTTTTGGTTTATATAATCTTTGATACTTAATACCTAGCATCTAAAGCAAACATTGGAGTCCTGGTGTGGCACTGCAGAGTTAATGTGCTGGACTGCAAGGTTAGCAGTTCAAGCTCACCAGCTGCTCCTCAGAAACCCTATACAGGGTCGTTGTGAGTCGGAACTGACTCGCGGGCACTTAACAACAACAAAGCAAAAAATTAAAAGAGTTGGGGCATAATCACACATTTTTTATTGTTTTGTGCCTTAATATCTTCATTTGCTGATTGGGACTACATAATATGGGGTCTCTTTTCATCCTATAGCCAATGCACTTATCTGGACTTCGTAACACTTAACTATCTGTGTGAATCCCTTGCCACCTACTGCTTGGTTTCCACATGTGTATAAATCAGATAAGAAACATCTGAGGCTCAGAGTCATCCTTAAGTGCTTGACCTTCCCAGTCTGCTTCATTCGCAGCTGTTTATTCCCCTACTTTCCTCATAAATAAGTTGTGAGAATAAATGAATGATTAGCCTTTAGAGTTACGGGTCTCATGTGGTGTTTATAAACTATACTCAGAGTAACATAGTGTGTGCACCATTGACTGTTTCCTTGCAGTCATCTTTGTACTTTGCAGGTGATTTTTATAACAAACCTATGTGTACACAGGGAGGGTCCACATGTAGCCATCAGTCTGGTGTGTACACATTCACAGCAGTAAACCCATTTGTTCTCAGAAAAATCTATAAAGATGTTATCTTATGGATACTTCTTAAAAAATAATTTATCTTACTATACTAAATGCTCTTGACTTTATGTAATGAAAAAGTAATCTTTGTTTACTCTGTAAATTTTCTAATATTGATTGTAAATTAATTTTGTTTACAGATTTATTCCAGTCGAGACCTTGAGGAATCCATAAACAAAATTAGGGAAATATTATCTGATGACAAGCATGATTGGGAGCAAAGAGTAACTGCTGTAAGCCATTGATTTCAATTCACTAGATGCATTCCAAATATTCGAAATACTTCTTTATGAAATCAGGGCACAGCTCTAATGAATTTTAGATAATGAGTATTTTAAATTTAAATGACCATGCTAACACTTTTATCTTTTTAGTAGAGTACCTCACTTCTGTTTCTCTTTTTAAATCCTACCAACTTATTCCTTTATGTAATTCTCATTCTTTTATCAGTGTGTCACCTGTGTGCTGCGTTGACACCCTCTACTTCATGCTAATAAAGATTTCATTCTCATTATTTGTAGACATTAAAATCATTAGAAAGTGTCTTTCTGATTGCATTTCCAGTGAATATCCCTCAATATTTCTTTCTTCATATCATTTGCTTGAAAGTTGTGCTTCTATTTTAAGTTTTTACTATGAATCGAGTGATAGTTTACATGGAAGAATACTGGTTTTACACTCATCGTTTCATTGCAATAATTACAGTCTTCTCTGCATCATCATTCAACAGTATTTCAGTATTTTTGTTTCTATTCCCTCTGTTTTGTTTTTTTTTGCAGGGGGATGTACACACAAACATTCAGGAATATATATATATATATAATCATTGAAATCACCAAAGGCACATTCTGTAAGCCTGCTACATAATCATTTAAACAACCAAAGGGCACATTCTACAAGCCTGTCTTCTGGCCACCAGCACCTGGTCACCAGGACACAGTCTTTCTTTTTCAATGAGTCTAGAGTCCTCAGTTGCTATGTCTCTCCATGTCCTCAATTCTGCTTCCATCGCTGGTGTCGCTGCTTCTCTGGATAGGGGTCCCACATTCCGCTCGTGCTCTTTTCGTTTGATGGTCCTGGACTGTAAGATTAACTACTCCCCTCTTTTTGTAGCAAAAGTAGGGGAGTGATTGACGTTGCAGTCTAGGAGTGGAAGTCCCTGGGACCATCAAGGGAGAAGAGCAGAGTGCAGGACCCTACCCAGAGAAGCAGTGACACCAGAGATGGAGGCAGAGATGATGATGTGGAGAGATAGAGCAGCTGGGAACTTTAGACCCAGAGAGGGAGATGGAGGGGCTGTGTGCTCACGACTGAGGGGCAGGCTTACAGGGTATATACCCTTTGGTAGGTTGATGATGCATGGAGGGGATTGTAACCATGGCAATGAAACGATATATGATAGGATGAATGTAAAGCTAATGTTCTCCCATGTAAACTATCACATAATTCACAAAAAACATTAAAAAAAAACCCAACTTCTACCTTTACAGTTGGGACAGTTGCAATTTAGTCATGGTAACAGTTACTATTGAATCATAAGCATCTTTTCCCTATCTCTTTTCACCAGACCCATCTAGATAAGATGAAAACTACTCAGTGGGGAGTCTACCTTATCCCTGCACACTCTGAAGCTAAACTCCCTCTTGGAGTCCTGCAAGCTAGTCAGTTCATGCCTTTATAGCTCCTCCCCCTACCCCCTGTTTAAGGTAGCCAGTGTCTAAATTGCCTGTCCCTATCAACCCTGTATACAGAAGGGATAGGATTGATCTTTGATGTGATGTGATTCTGTTTTTAAAAATGAAAATAAGTCCTCTGAGCCCTAAAATGAAGTCTGTTTTCTTTGAGAAAAGCTATTTTACATTGTCTAGAAGGTAAGAAGAGCAGAGATAAAATCATTACTATGTTGTAGTTCAAATTCAGATGAGTGTTTCATCCTGATGCGGTGGAACATAATATTGAAAGACTAGGATGGCTTCTCCCTTTAATTGATTTAGTTAAATGGTATTTGGAATTGAATATATGAGAAAAGGTGAGGTTAGGATAGGAGAGTCTTTTATAAGCACCAAATGAAGAATTCAGTTATTTTATTATTTGTATAATAAGTCTGTAAATGCACTAAACTGTTTCTAATGAAAATAACAGCACACTTTTGAGAATTGCAAAGTATTTGCCACAGATACTGAGATACTTACTACTTTGAAAAATATTTGATATTATTTGTGATATGTAGAATTGTTCAATTTATTATTCAGTATTGGATGAATTCTTTGGGATAAAAGCACTTTAAATTGGACTTTATGGATATCTCTTTTCTGTTTGATGGTGTTTTATTATTCAGTACATCCTCTCTTCCCTTATCAACATGGTTAGGTTCTGCAGAGCAGGTTGTTAATATAAGTTCAACATTTGGATAAAATGGAGTATGACCATTCCTATCACAGAATGGAAGATGACGGCATCATTATGTAGCTGCCAACTGCCATCATTGCGTAACTCAAATTGCCATGGAGAGTCATGGCCCAGCCGAGGGGCACGTAATCTTAACCATTACATCCAGTGTGGTTGTCACTTGTAACTTGGCGATTGTAACTACCAGGCATAAATTGTTAACGTGCAAAATAATTGGATAGTAGAATTTTTACCATTGTCACAAATGTGAAATGCTGGATAGCAAGACAGTTGGTAAGTTGAGGATAAGGTTATAGATAATGTTCTAAGGAGTGTTTTTGTATAACTCATAATTTTCTCTGCTCCATTAGCTGAAAAAGATTCGATCTTTACTTTTGGCTGGTGCTGCTGAATATGACAACTTTTTCCAACATTTGCGTCTCTTGGACGGAGCCTTTAAACTATCTGCTAAGGACCTGCGGTCTCAGGTAGTGCGGGAAGCTTGCATCACATTGGGGTAAGGACCATAAGCCCTAGCTTCTTCCACATCACTATACAGCCTTACCAAAATGTTGCACTGAGGATGGGGTCAAATGGTTTCTTTAGAATAAAGTCTTGAGAACCGCTCAAGTTATGCTTCTGTTGGTACACTTAAAACGTTTCCATCCCAGTTATATTAAGTATCACAGAGTTCACAGTTTGTTTTAATTTGGTGACATAACTCTGAAACCGCTGTTTAAAACTTGAAACAGTTTAGTAATACAGATCAATGAAACTTAATAAATTTTTGTTTCTCTTTAGATTTTTCACTGATTTTGCTGACAGGTTATAGCATGATTCTAGAATTTTTGCCTGTTTGCTCTCAGGAAGTATTAAAGTCATATCCTGCAGTAAAATTTTATTCTAGTTTGACCTGGGTCTGTGTTCGAAGCTAAAACTCGTGTGGTAGACTGTGTGCCAGACTTTCAGAGCAGTAGCAGTAAGACAGTGGCATTGTGTCTGTAAAGTTTTGGCTCTGGTCACATATTGAAGCAAGAATATTGTATGTTAAAAAAGACTCAAAGAAAAAAGGGTAAGGAAGCATTTTCAAATTTATGGTTTACTAGTATATGATCAATTCTGTTTTTGTTGTTGTTGTTGCTGTTTATGTACTTGACATTTTAAGATAAATCAATTGGAAATGATTCATTTAAAAAAAAAAAAAAAAACCATCTTGGGTTAATGGCTTTTTGCCAAGTGCTCTACATGCACACTGGAAGTTTTTTAAAAATTTTAAATGATAATTTTAAATGAAGACTCTAAAATGCTTAAAAGTTTTATTTGCTTCATTGTTCATAAGAAATTGAGCTACAGCCAAGTATTCCCTTCTGATTATAGGCATCTGTCATCAGTTCTGGGGAACAAGTTTGACCATGGAGCTGAAGCCATCATGCCAACTATCTTTAATTTAATTCCAAACAGTGCCAAAATCATGGCCACATCTGGAGTTGTAGCTGTTAGGTTAATCATTCGTGTAAGTATGTTTTAGAATTACATATTCAGAAGCATGTGGGTAGATAGTGGTGACAAGATATATTAGAGGCTTATTTTGTCATTAATATGGTTATTACATTAGATGTAATTATATGTATTTTGGAAAATATAAAGAAGGAAATAAATTGTCTGTAACTTTATAGCATATAAGAAACAGCCATTGCCAATATTTTAGTATATTTTCCAAGTCTTTTATATACTGTCAAGTAGCAGTGAGTTAGTTTCTGTTATAGGCTTTCTTAGGCTTCCAATATTTACAGGAGCAGAAAGCCTTATCTTTTTCCTGCTGGTGGGCTAAAACTACCAACCTTGTGGTTTGTAGCCCAGTGTTTAACCTGTGGCGCCACTGTGCTCCTTTGTATGTGTATGTATTTTTGTGTATGTATGTATGTATAGTTGAAAACTGTACATTATTTTTTCTCACTCTTGGTGTGGCACTGTAGGACTAATTCTATACTGCAAACCACAAGGTCTGCGGTTCAAACCCATCAGCGGCTCCTTGGAAACCCTATACAGGGTTGCTATGAGTGAACGGACTCGACGGCACTTAACAGCAACAACAGTTACAGCATGTGAAAACTTTATCATCCATAATGTGAATTATGGTTATGATTCACCTCTGGTTTTTCATGTTTGAACATTTGACATCTAATTAAACTCAAAGCCATTATTAGCTATTTCCATTGAAACAATGTCAAAATATAATGGTTGCAAGCAGTGCCAAAATCACGATGCCTCTTTTCAAAGTACTCAGACCTTAACTGCTCATCTAATTAAACCTCATCGTGAAGATCTGTTTTACATGTTTAGACTTAACTTACATTTCATTGTGTTGTCTGGTTTTGACTGTAAATTTTGTAATGGTCTTTGGCAATATTCAATCACAATTCTTTTTGCATTTGAAATTGAGTAAAATTCTAATCTGGATATCTATATGCTTTAAGTAGGTTCTTCAAGGAAGTGATTTTCTTAGTTGTTTGTTTTGGTCTTTTCATGTGTTCACTTGTGTTTTTGTTCTTTACAGCACACACACATCCCTAGGCTAATACCTGTCATAACAAGCAACTGTACCTCTAAGTCTGTCGCAGTTAGAAGGTAAATCTTTGAATGGTTTCTTTAATTTTGAAATTTTTGAAAAACTGAAACTAACTCCAAATCTCTCTCCATGGGAAAAAAGTTAATATTTACACTGGTTAGTATCATTTAAAGTTGTTACAGTAAATGCTTTTGAGTTGAAAAATCATGAACTAAAATTTCTAGAAAGTGAATTTGGAGAAACTCTACTATGTATTTGAGTGTGTGTCTGTGTTTATGTGTGTGTGAGAGACAGACAGAGAGATGGCTATGTGGGTGGAGAGAAGCTTCTATGTACATTTTTTCTTTTTTTCTCTACTGAATGAAGGCAGTAACTACATGCAAGAAAGTGTTGTATATATTAATATCAGTAATTTAATATTAAGGTTTCTAAATGGTCATATGGGAATTCTGGTGTGGCACTGTGGGTTAATGCGCTGGACTGCAAAGTCGCTTTGAACCTCAAATTTGGTGGTTCAAGCTCACCAGCTGCTCCTCGGAAACCCTATACAGGGTCGCTATGGTTCAAAACCAACTTGAAGGCACCTAACAACAACAAATGGTCATATGATTTGTGTTCAACTGCTAACCTAAAGGTTAGCATATGAACCCTGGAGTCCTGGTGTGGCACAGTAGGATAAAGCACTGCACTGTAAGGTTGGTTTGAACCACAAGGTTGGTGGTTCAAATTCACCCACCATTACTTGGAATACCCCACATAGGGTCACTATGAGTCCGAACCAACTCCACGGCACTTAACAACAACAACTCGAGGTGCCACGAAAGAAAAGGCCTGACATTTGCTTCTGTTACAGTTACAACCAGGAAAGCTCTATGGGACAGTTCTGCTCTATAGTAGCACATGGGGTTACCAGGAGTTGGAACTACCACAGAGTGAAACACTGCTGCATCCTATCCCATGCTCACAGGGTGGTTATGTGTGAGCCCATTGTTGCTGTCAGTGAGTCAATCCATCTTGTGGGAGTCTTCCTCTTTACCAAGTCTGATGTCCTCTCCAGGGCCTTTTCCTTCCTAACAACAATACAAAGTAGGAGAGTTGAAATCTCACCGTTTTCATTTCTGAGGAGCATTCAGGCTGTACTTCTTCTGAGACAGATTTGTTTGGTCTTCTGGTAGTCCATGGTACTTTGAATACTCTTCATCACTACCATAATTCAAATGCATTGATTCTTCTACAATCTTTTTTATTTGTTGTCTAACTTTCACATGCATATAAGATCATTGAAAATATCGTGGCTTGGATCAGGCGCACCTTTGTCCTCAAAGTGATATCTTGCTCTTGAACACATTTCACAGAGGTCTTTTACGAAGAGGAATTTTCCTAATGCAATGTGTCCTTTGATTTCTTGACTTTTTCTTCCATGAAAGTTGAATCAAACAGAATGAAGCCTGACAGCTTCCTTCAATCTTTCCTTCATTTATCATGATGGTTTTATTGGTGTAGCTGTGAGGATTTTTATTTTCTTTACACTGAAGTGCTGCTGTCCATACTGAAGGCTGTAGTCTTTCATTTTCATCAGTAAGTATTCAAAGCACTTTTCCCCTCTAGCAAGCAAGGTTATATCATCTGCAGATTGCAGGTTGCCAATGAATCTTCCTCTAATCCTGGTGCCACATTCTTCTTCATATAATCCAGCTTTGTGGATTATAATTTCCTCAGTATATAGATTGAATAAGTATGGTGAAAGGATATAATCCTGGTGTACACGTTTCCTAATTTTAAACCATTCAGTGTCCCCTTGTTCTGTTCGAATGAACTGTCTGTGTACAGGTTCCTCATGCGCACAATGAAGTGTTCTGGAATATTTTTCGTTTCCAGTGTTAGCTATTTTGATATGCTCTTTAGAGTCAAATGACTTTGTGTAGTCAATAAAACACAAGTAAATATCTCTCTGGTACTTTCTGCCTTCAGGCAAGATCCATGTGATGTCAGCAATGATGTTGCTCATTCCATGTCCTCTTCTAAATCCAGTTTGCATTTTTTTACAGCTTCTAGTCTATGTACTGCTGCAAACCTTTATGAATTATCTCAGCAAAATTTTACTTACATGTCATATTAATGATACTGTTTGATGATTTCCAGATTCCATTGGGTCACCTTTCTTTGGAAGGGACACAAATATGGATCTCTTCTAATCATTTGGTCAGGTAATTGTCTTGCAAATATTTTGGCATAGACAAGCCTCCAGCACTGCAACAGTTTGTGGAAACATTTCAATTGGTATACTGCCAGTTCTTGGGGACTTTTTTTTTTTTTGCCAATACCTTCATTTCAGTTTGGACTTCTTTCAGCCCTTTATCATATGGTACCTCTTGAAATGATTGAACATTGATCAGTTTTTTTTGTATAGTGACTATGTATTCCCTGCAGTCTTTTGATGCTTTATGCACCAGTCAGTAGTTTCCCCCGTAGGGTCCTTCAGTATTTCAGGTCAAAGATTGAAGTTTTTCATCAGTTTTTTCAGCGTGAGAAATGCTGAATATATTCTTTCTTTTTGGTTTTCTAAGTCCAGGTCTTTGCACTTTTCATTATACTTGACTTTTTCTTCTCTAGCTGACCTTGGGGTTCAGTTTTTTTACTTCATAATTTCTCCTAGTCACTGTAGCTTTTTTATGTTAAAGAATAAATTTCAGAGACTTCCTGATTTATTTATTTTTTCTTTCCTGGCCTTTTAATGACCTTTTGCTTTCTTCCTGTCTAATGTTCTTGATGTCCTCCCACTACTCTTCTGGTCTTTGGTCATTAGTGACCAACTCCACTAAGATAATTTCTAAGTTCAGGTGAGATATAGTCAAGGTCATATTTTGGGTCTGGTGGATTTGTTTTAATTGTCTTAATCTTCAGCCTGAACTTGCATGTAAACAGTGGATGATCTGTTCTACAGTCGTCCCCTGGCCTTGTTTTAGCAGATGTTACTGAGTTTCTCCTGTCATTTCTTCCCACAGATGTAGTCAGTGTGATTCCTCTGTAGTTCCTCTGTTGAGATCTAGCTGTATATTCACTATTTACACAAGATATTTGCAATGAATAAGTTGTAGGTCTTGCAAAGTTCTGTCATGTGATGCCTACCGTAATTTCTGTCTTAAGGCCATATTTTTCAACTGCAGATCCTTCTTTGCTTCCAGCGTTCACATCCAATCGCCTGCCATTATCATTGCACCCTTGATAGTATGTTTTATTCATTTCAGACTCAAGAAGTTGGTAAAATTCTTTAATTTCTTCATCACTGTATTTAGTAGTTGATGTGTAAATTTGAAGACTATTGGTATTAACTGGTCTTCCTTGTAAGATTATGAATATTATCTTGTCACAGACAGCATTGTACTTCAAGATGGATGTTGAAATGTTCTTTTTGACAGGGAATGCCAAACTGCCCTCTTTATCATGCCTGCATAGTGAACTATATGAATGTCCAATTCAGAATGTCCAGTCCTAGTCCATTTCAGCTTACTGATGCCTAGGATATCAATCGTTATGCTTTCCACTTCATTTTTGATGACTTTGATTTTCCTAGGGAGTCCTAGTATGATGCTGTAGGATAAGAACTTGACTGCTGTCCTTGAGGTTGGTGGTGCCAGCCCATCAGGTGGTCCTAGGAAACCCTATACAGGGTGACTGTAGTCAGATGCAACTCAGCAGCACTTAGCAACAACAATTCCAACTACTTTGAGGAGTCAGCTCTTCCACAGTCAAATTTTCAATGCCTTCCAACCTAAGAGGCTCATCTTCCAGCACTGTCTCTGACTATGTTCTGCTGCGGCTCATAAGATTTTCAGTGACTCGCTGTTCAGAAATTGTCTGTCTCTCCTTCTTTGTAGTCTGTCTTAGTCTGGAAGCTCCGCTGAAACCTGTCCACCATGGGTGACCCTGCTGGGAATTAAAATACTGGTGGCATGGCTTCTAGCATCATAAGAACTGACAAGTCATCGCAGTACAACAGACTGACAAATGGTGGGAAGATATTTTAACAGTTGCAAAATGGCTGACTAGCTAGGGCTTTGCTCCTAAATCGCTGTCTTGCCTTGTGTCCTAATGAGCTGCCCTAAACCACATGTAAGGAATAGCAATTTTCTCTTCTGGCTCAGGTAACTGATTCATGACTGTTTGACCATTGCGTATTTTGAGAGTCTACTAAAGCTCCTGGACCCTTCCTATGGCACAGTGTCAGTACACAGTTTTGTCTCGGTCTTCAGGGGATTCATGTTGTTGCTGTTGTTGTTAGGTGCCATTGAGTCGGTACTGACTCGTATCGACCTTATGCACAGCAGAACGAAACACTGCCTGATCCTGGGCCAACCTCACTACTGTTGCCACGCTTGAGTCCATTGATGGTGCCACTTGGCCAGTCCAACTAGCTGGGGGTTTTCCTCTTTTTCTCTGACCCTTCACCTTACCAAACATGATATCTTTCTCCAGTGACTGTTCCCTCCTGACATTATGTCCAAAGTATGAGAGATGAAATTTGGCCATCTTGGCCTCCAAGGAGCACTCTAGCTGTACTTCTTCCAATACAGACCAGTTGGTTGTATGGGCAGCCCATGGCACTTTCAATACTCTCCTCCAACACTATAACTCAAAAGCATCAATTCTATTACAGTCTTCCTTATTCACTGTCCAGCTTTTGCATGTATATGAGGTTATTGAAAATGCCATGGCTTGGGTCAGGCACACCTTAGTCCTCAAGCTGACATCTTTGCTCTTCAACACTTTAAAAAGATCTTGTGCAGAAGACTTGCCCAATGCAATACGTCATTTGATTTGTTGACTGCTGCTTCCATGAGTGTTGATAGTTGATCCAATAAGAATGAAATCCTTGACTAAATATTTGGAAGTAATTGTCACTCCTTTTTCCTAGTCTGTCTTCGTCTGGAATCTCATCTGAAACCTGTCACCGTGGGTGACTCTGCTGGTATTTAAAATACCGATGGCATAACTTTCAGAATCACAGCAACTCATAAGCCATCACAGTATGACAAACTGACAGTGTGGTGGGATTTGTGGGCCAACACTAAAAGCTGCTCAGTGTGTAGTTTAAAGAACCTCATGGGATAAATTAAGGGCAGACCTGGGCTGCAGTTTTTAAGCCCCATTTCTGGAATCCCATTTTTAATTTTAGCTCAGTAAAAAATTCTTATTAAGCCTTTTGGTTAAGTGCCGTGAAGTCAGTTCTGGCTCATAGCGATCTTGTATAGGGTTTCCAAAGCTGTACATTTCAAATTTCTCCCATGGAGTACCTGGTGGGTTTGAACAGCTGACTTGGTTAGCAGTCCAGTGCTTATCCTATGGAGCCACTGCTACTGCTGCTGCTGCTTCTGTATGCCATGGTGTTGGTTCTGACCCATAGTGACCCTGTACAGGGTTTCCGAGGCTGTAAATCTTTACGGGAGCAGAATGCCTCATCTTTCTCCTGCGGAACAGCTGGTAGCTTTGAACTGCTGACCTTGCGGTTCGCAGCCCGATCTGATTCGTAACCACTACACTACCAGAGCTCTACGGTGCTCCCCAATTACAAAGAACACTGCTTTCCATAGCTAATTGTTGCTTATTTCATGTGGTTCTACTTTGGTCCTGCCTTGCTTCCACAGGTGAGAACCCTCATAAGCATGCTGTGGTGAGACCCATCTTATTCACAGTCACCTAGAAGGCAAGAGGGAGAAAGGAAGCTTAGATGGGGCAATAATCCAGTTCCCTTAAAACCAGGAGGAAAGAAATGTGGCACTTCACTGAAAGGCTTGAGTTCTAACAGCATAGCTCAGCTGTATCTCCCTGAGGAATGCCACAGAGCCACAGCTCACCTTCTTCTTTGGTGTAGAGTGAAGCAGCCTCTCAGCCTCTAGAGATGAGAGTGTAACTCTGCAACATAGAGAGATGGATATGAACTTTTGAACCTGAGAGACTGCAGTTGAAGCATTAGTCTTTTCATTTAATGATGTGGTTCTCTAGGAATGAGAGCACCCCTCTGCAGGGCTGTTCAGTGGTTTCGCAGTCCTGTAGGTAAAAGGGCCTGGTGTTTAGTGAAATGTTAAGAATTGATCATCATAATTAGAATTTGTTGCTGCTTCTATTGTTAACTATCATCATTACTGTTTTAGGGTTTCAGTGGAAATTCAGGAGTTTTACTTTTGTAAAATGCAGAGTTTCTCCACCAAGATGCTGTTGGTGGTTTGGAATAACCTAATTTTTTGGAGTCCTGGTGTTACGGATTAATGCACTGGACTGCAAAGTCACTTTGAAACACGCCGCAAGGTCGGCGGTTCAAGTTCGCCAGCTGCTCCTCGGAAACCCTGTATGAGGTTGCTATGGATTGGAACTCACTTGACAGTATTTGACAACAAAAGTTCTTTGTTGTGTAACATTGCAGGAGTTTTACCAGTGCTAGCCTCTGGTACTGAATATCAGTGACAACTTACACTACCTGTGACAATAGAAATGCCAGCCCACCACCACTGCCTTTTTTTAAAAAAAATTTTATTATAAGGTATGTTTTTATTAGTTCTTTAACAGTTGATTCACATGCATACAAGCACACACACGTGCCAACAGTTGAAACCGTAACAATCAAGGTAACCCAAAATCGTGTGTTTGAAAACACAGTCCCTAAACTATAGAATCTAATAGAGCTTACTCACAGAAACTTGCACATCAAACACTAATTAATGTTGTTAATCAAAAATTATGGCATGTATGCTAAAAAGAAATCGAGACGCTTTGAGTACAGGTGTAAAATAAACTTGTTGTTAAATGTTGCCGAGTCAGTTCTGATTCATAGTGACCCTCCATAGGGTTTTCGATGAGTGGCTTGTGAGTTTGAATTGCTGACCTTGCAGTTCAAACTGACCTTAAGGTCAAGTACTTCCCATACAGCACCATGCCAGGTCTCTAGAATAAGTCAGACAAAATAAGTAAAGCTTGAAGTCTCATTAGTTTTCTGAGCTAAACTCCTTGCTGTATGATAAACACTGGACTGCAGACCACCAGGTTGGTGATGAAAATCCACCAATACCTCCAATTTTAGAATCACAGTTCCTGACTCCTGGTCCTTCTTCATTTAGTCAGAGTTAGCATCCGTTAGTCAGAACCTTGTGTCTTCATGCAGAATAAGTAGTAAGCACTATCTGGCCAACATTCCCTGCCTTTACACAGGTAAAAGGAGGAGAGCAGCCCCCTCTTTCCTGAGAACCAAAGAACATAAGGTACCCAAGACAGTTGAACCTCTTACCTACTGTTGCTGTGTAGTATTTGTGGAAATAATGGATTGCACGATTGCCCTGCCTTTAAGAAGCTTATTAATTAGTTGAGATTAGGAAATACATGAAACCATAGTGCATAATGGTATGTGTAAGAGGGACCAATAACATGTGTTCTGAATTTACCAGTTCAGTGAAGGCAGTGATTAAAACCAGCTGATGATGTAGTCAACAACACAAATCACCAATGAGCTGAGAGCAAAGAAGAACGAACCCAGTAGGATGATAGGATGGTAGAGGTGTAGTGAATGTCATGTAATTGACAGGAGGGATGCAGTGTTTGTGTAGTTCAGTGCCTCTCCCTTTGAGAAAGCTTGCTTTACACATCTCCTCCCCTTGGATCATTCCCAGCCCCTAGACTGAGTTCTGTTAACTTTCCTAAGGGCTCATATCCCAGGTACAACATGAGAGCTGTTGCCTGCTCTGTCTTTCTGGACTGTGTCTTGGTTATCACTGTATCTTCATCTACCACAGGGGAAAGCTATTAAAGCTATACTGATTGGTTGATTATTAGTGGTGGATTATTAGGTTTAAAATTGAAGAGGATTGTGGGAAAAGAAGACTGGTCTTTTTATCAAGGACAGATAGATTACCATCTGATTTGCATTTCCTTGAATGGCTTCCTAGGACTATTAAGATTTACTCTTGAAAAGATAGGAACCCTGGGCACTGAACAAAGGCCATCATAAAAGAAAGTAGGGCCTACAAAGGCAGGAAGTGGCTGGCCTACAAAGGCAGGAAGTGGCTGGCTTACAAGCTTTCAGAAGGGAGCCTACATGCAGAGGGTGTGGAGGAAGGTAGAATCTCCACTGAGTAGTTTCCAATCTGTCTGGGGTGGGGCTAATGAAAGGAGATGGGGATAGGTCCCTTGTGATACAATGGTGAATAATTGTTATCAGGACTGACTGTGAGGGTTGGAAATGTAAAGGTGAATGTTTTGTAGCAAAAGGAGGGGAGTGATTGACTTTGCAGTCCAAGAGCAGAGGTCCCTGGAACCATCAAGGGAGAAGAGCGGAGTGTGGGACCCTACCCAGAGAAGCAGTGACACCAGAGATGGAGGCAGAGACAATAATGTGGAGAGATGGAGCAGCTGGGGACTCTAGACCCAGAGAGGGAGAGGGGCTGTGTGCTGAAGACCTGGGTGGCGGTCAGGCTTGCAGGGTATATATACACTTTGGTTGGTTGATGATGAATGGAGGGGATTGTAACCATGGCAATGAAATGATATACGATAGGATGAATGTATAACTAATGTTCTCCCATGTAAACTATCACATAATTCACAATAAACATTAAGAATAAAAAAGAGAGTAGGGCCAAAGTATGCAGAAATCAGAGCAAGCAGTCTTACAGAAATGGTAAGACTTGAAAAGTTAAAGGGAGGAATGTAGCAGAGTGACTAGAGGGAAAGCATTTCTTATTACCGCCTAGACTGTTACAGGGCTATGTGTTTTGTGCAAGGCATTCTGTGGCGTTAACACAAACCCTGATTCTGTGCTTGCGTTAGTGCACACTGAAGTTTTGGTGTTATGTGCAGTCTGCATTGAGGAACATTGGAATAAGATGAAATCAGATGACACGGATAAGTCCTTTCACTAAAGTTGCCATGAAGCTTAGTTTCTGATTATTCCATTCCTGTGACTCTCTTACTTATCGTTGTAATTATCATAGATAGCTGAATTATGTTTATTTGCTTTGGTTTGCAATCAGTTCTGATTCTTTTATGTACCTTTTTCCTAAAAATTAAAAGCAGAAGAAATTTACCAATAATAAAAAGCAATGTTGAATCATTTACAATAAGCTCAGTTTAGGGAGATAAGTTTCCCTTTGGAGATGGATAAAAGTCATGATTAAATAACACGATGAACATAATGTCACTGAACTGTACTTGTGAAGATTGTTGAAATGGTATAAATGTATTGTTACGTATATATTTTTAAATTATAAAATGAAATAAAAATGACATCAATAAAAATGATAAAATGAAAGAAAAAAGAACATAATTGATTTATTTTCTCTGTCATGCAGATTACTAAGTTATATGTTTTTTTCTGAACACTTCTCAGGCGCTGCTTTGAATTTTTAGATTTACTGTTACAAGAATGGCAGACACATTCACTAGAACGGTGAGCATCTGATCTGAAGTGTTTTTTTCTCTGAAATTAATGTTGTGGTTTCTTTCAATGAGTAGTCCAATCCATTTTCTATAAGAAATGTTTTGCATGGTTATTTGTTTTGAACCCTTAATATCGGCAAACTTTCAATAAATTACATTTGTTAAAATATCAGTATGCTACAAAATGTGGAAAAATGTGCAACCATGAAGCCAGGATTAGCTCTCTGCTGACTCCTGTGTTGCTGGGTAACATTCCTACCAAAGAGTTGGCTGCATACTATCTTCTCTTAGGTCCATAGAGGAATCGACCCATTTGAGAGTTTTCTGTTTGATTCATGTGTATCAGAAAGCCAGAAATTTTCTTGTTATTCAGCTTAGTGTATGGCAACTTTCATGTCAGTGTTATTAGAAATAGAACTTGGTAGAATTCTTGAAGAAATTCTTCTCTGTTAATTTTTAGATTCATTCTTTTGTGTGTCATTATTTTCGATTCCTCTGGTAGCGTAGTGTTTCCGTATCAGGATGCTAATAACCTCATGGTCACTTAGTTCAAACTACCATCAGTTCCACAGGACAAAGATAAGGCTTTCTGCTCCCATAAAGATTTGTAGCGTAGGAAACCCTATGCAGGGTCGCTATGAGTTGGAACCAACTCCACAGCATATAACCACTACCATAATTTTAATATTATAAATTATTCTTTCTGAGCTAATTTGAGTGACTGTATAAATTAGGATTTTGCGCCATCTATTTTTAAATGGTATATTGTACAGTTTGGGGAGGAGAAATTCATATTAAATATTTTAATAATGAAATTTTAATGAAATGAATATACCTGTGGGTCTCATTCTAGACGTCAGTGGTCAAAGATGAATCGAAGCTGAGCCTCCAGGAGATAAAATTCCATCTGAAAACAATTACTTTGAAGCTAGAAAATAGTCATACATGTTTTGTTTTGTTTTTAAATAACTTCTTTGATTTTTAATTGTTTGGGCGTTTGGCTATAGTTCTGCAATTTAGAGGTGGATTATGGACTTGAGGGACTTAATGTGGGGAGGGACGAGTGAGTAGAACAGAAAGACTGAAGACCTGAGATGCAGCCTTGTTGTGTATTTAGTCACCCACCAGCCTAGTGTGGTGTGCTGTAGGATAAGCACTGGACCTCAAGGTTGGTGGGTCAAACTCACCAGCTGCTCTTCGGAAACCCTACATTGGGTTGCTATTAGTTGGAAATGTCTTGACGGCATTTAAACAACAACAACAGTGTTGCTTTGAAATCCTGATGTGGCACTGTGGGATGAGGCACTGGACCATAAGGTTGGCTTGAACCATAAGACTGGCAGTTTAAACTCACTAGCTGATCCTCAGAAACCCTATACAGGGTCGCTATAAGTTGGAACCAACTCAACGAACGGCACTTAGCAACAACAACGACTAGCCTAGTGTCTGCCACTTAGTTGATGCTCACTTAATACATGAGGAGTGAATAAAGGAGTGAGGCTAAGACTTTGAGTGGGAGAACTGGTTGCTTGTCTTTGTTCTGTGAACTCATTGAAATTGTTCTTTCCAGTCATTTACTTTTTCTTTAAGCTCTGCTAAACATTCCATAAGACAAATTTGAAGACTTCTTTCATAGGGTAATATGTAACTAAAATGAATAACTATTTATAAAATGGTTAAATGATTTATAAAATTGTTCATGTTAAATGGTATTGGAATTTGAAGGAATTTCTGTTTACTTATACAAATATAATATAGACACAGTCTATTTAGGATTAAGACTATTACTATCTCATTATTTTCTATCCCCATTGAAGCCAATTTTGACCATGGGAAAATAGCGTTTTGTTGTTTGGGTTCATAGCAGATTGAGCTAAATAGGTGTGATCTGAAAAAAACAAAAACAAAAAACAGCTGTTGGAAATGAATTAACACAAATGAATAGGTATCAAACTAGAGGTCATGAATGAAGGTCAGATAGTGTGGCAGAATTCGAAGTTTAAAAGTTTGGCAGAATTCGAAGTTTAAAAGTTTGGCAAGAGTGTTCTGAATTTTCAAGCTGCATGTGAGTTGGCGAACCTTGTCACAAAAGGCCCTATACATTCCGCATTCCATTTGAAGTTATTCCTCACACCTATTTCCATCCACATAAAACACAGTATTTATTACTGTTACTGCTTTCTCTTCTTAAATGTCTAGACACACATCAGTATTAGCTGAAACAATAAAGAAGGGAATTCATGATGCTGATTCTGAAGCAAGGATAGAAGCCAGAAAGTAAGTTTTTATTCTCCACCTCTTCTTTTATTAACTACTTTTCTATTTTAGACATGCTGTCTGGATTGCCTTGTTAAAAATAAATTAAGTTACTGGAACATGTTTTGTTAATCATGATTTATTAGTATCATCCAGAGATCATTTCAGAATATTTTTGTAGGATTTTGCTTAGAAGATTGTTTTGTACCCAGGCTTCATGATACCTGAATATAAACAGGGCTCATGCAGACAACCAGATGCTCTGGTTTTTTGTGAAACTTTTTATTGTGAATTGCGTGAAGGTTTATGAAGCACAGATCATCAGCTTTACATTTAACAAACCACACACTTTGTTTCACTCAATGATGGCAAGTCCCCTCCCATGTCACAGCAGTTATCCCTATTCCTCCCTGTGGTGATTTCTGTTTCACTCTCATCCCCAACCCTTCTGAACTTTGTCTTTAGGTCAATGTTGCCCTTTTGATCTTGAATGATTGACAATTCCATGGTAAGCATACCTTACTAGTGTTGTTGTCCTCACCTATATACCTGTGTACTGCTTGGCTGAAAATTGTACCATGAGTGTGAAGTCTATTTTAGACCTGAAGGGTGGCTGAGGACCATAGTCTCAGGGCTCCTCCAATCTCTTTCTGACCCGTAAGCCCAGTCTTTTTTTCATAATTTTGAGCTTTGTTCCGTACTGTTGTCTCCTCTATCCAGGCCCTTCTAATGTAATCCCTTACAGAGCAGTTGGTAGAGGTAGCTGAGTACCACCTAGCTCTTCTGTTTTCAGAGTTGTGGTGACTGATATTGACCTGCTCCATTGGTCCATGGGGCTAGTTAGTTCCACAGTTCTTCAATTTTCATAACTCTGATTTCTTCCACACATGCAGAAACGAATAGTTGCACATTATCTGGCTGCTCATGAACTTTGAAGATTCCATTCGCCACTCACCTAAATAGGATATAGAACATTGTCTTTGTGGACTATGCTATACCAGTTGACCATGGTTTCCCCTGAAACTATGGTCCTGAGTCCTCAGACCCAGGACCTCAAGGTGTTTTCATCATTTTGCCCCATGTATGCTCCACTACGTTCATAGATGTGTTTGTACAAAGGTAAATACCCATGTACAGATAGCCTCTGTCAAACCCTTATATCCGTTCAGCCTGTCTATCTGTTCAAGTAAGTATCTAAGCCCATAGAGCACTGTTGCTTCAGGTTTGTGTATATAACAGTGTTTACCTCTAGCCCCTTTAACTGTCATTTAAAAATTCATGAGCCATTATCCTGAGTTAGAAAAGCGCTGTATACATGATCAGTGTTTTTCTTACTAATCAAGCTCTTAAAAGTAAAGTCACAATCCAAAACTATTTTATTGCTTTCCCATGGAAAATTGTTACCATAGGTGACTGTGATCACATCTTTGCAACCATAAAGCAGTAGTTAGTGAGTATGAATCACAGTAAGGGGAGCTGGATGGACCCAAATGCACAGTGGCATCACAGTGGTAGTAGCTTCCAGCTGTTGCCTCACATTTGAGATGATTTTGCCATTAGCAGTGGTTGTGCTCCTGCCATGTGGCTGTGGGGATCTACATTGGTCCCTCCCTGGGAATAATTTTGCCATTGTTATTATAATTACTAGATGTTGGATGCTAAGACATAGATACTTGCTGCCAACTTTGTATCTGTGACTGCCTTTTCTTTACTTCTATAATTGACCAGCTCTTCTAATTGACACAGTTTAAAATCTAGCTTTACTAGCCTGAAACATAGTAGTTTTATTTGGCTCAGTTAATACTTGCTAACCACCACTTGGATAATTTTGAATAGCCATCACAGTTACGTTGTATTTTCCTTGTTTTGATTTCCATAGAGAGCTGGCCTCACTAGCTACAAAGTGCTTAACCACAGTCTCATCTCAGGTAGTTCCTGTCCAAATAAATAGCTTATTTAGTAGTTGCTAAAAATGTTAGGAATGGATTTGCTATTTGCTATTTTTAATCCTTGTTTGATATTTCCTTTGCCCCACAATTTTTTCTATTTCTTTAATCATAATAATAGAGTTCCAGTAGCTCTGAAAAACTTCCTGTTTCAGTAGTTTAAATCAGTGAACGTCAAAACTGCTTTCATAAAAACTACCATTGATTTTACTGTGTTGTAGGCACAGTTTGAGATGTTTTAGCTCTGTCCTCCTTAATGCTGCTAGAGCCTGTGATTACTGTTTTGTAACTTGTCTAATGTCAAAAAGCCAATAAGGCCTGAGGCCAGGTTTTACACAGGTCTTTTTGGTTCATGCTCTCTCTGTAATATATTATGCTTCTGGTACTACTAAAGTCAATGTTATTTTGTTCTTTAAAGCCTATTAGCAAGTAGATGGGGAGAGGGGTTGAGTCTTAGAAAATCTGTATTGTAATCCATAGATCATAGAGCCATAGATCAGCCTGTTATGATCTGCTGACTATAACTGGAAGTTGTATTCTTTTGTAGATGTTACTGGGGTTTCCACAGTCACTTCAGCAGAGAAGCAGAACATTTATACCATACGTTGGAATCCTCCTATCAGAAAGCCCTGCAGTCCCACTTGAAGAATTCGGACAGCATAGTGTCTCTGCCTCAGTCAGATCGCTCTTCTTCAAGCTCGCAAGAGAGTCTAAAGTAAGGAATTAAACTTGGCTTTTCATTAATGTGAAGTTTTATATTTAAGAATTTGTTGTTTCAATACTCAGATCCTAGCTGTGTGTTTAAAATATGTGGACCTGTTATAAGTCTCCTGAAACCTTGACTTCAAGTAGAATCTGGTATTAGGTTACTATGTCACAGTGTTGCATCTGCAGTAAATGACTCTGGTCTCTAGCACAAGTACTTTTCGGAGAACTTGCATGGCAGTCCTACCATATTTTTTCAGCGTCATGTAAATGAATTATAGGGTAGTAAGAACTATGGAAGGACTTCTGGTGTGGAGCTATAGGATCAGCTGGACTGTAAACACAAGGTCAGCAGTTCAAACTTACCAGCTGCTCCTCAGGAACCCTGTACAAGGTCACTGTGAGTTGAAACTGACTGGATAGCACTTAACAATAGCAACAAATGAACTGTATAAGGAGCCCTGATGGTACGGCGGGTTAAGCATTGGACTGCTAACCTCAAGATCAGCAGTTCTTATTGGCTGCTCCTAATGATTTGCAGTCTCAGAAGCCTGAGGGAGTAGTTCTCTGTCCTCTAGGGTTCCTAGGAGTCAGAATCGACTCCCTGGCAGTGGGTGGGGGAGTAAACTATGTGTATATAAGGGCTTCAAGGAGTCTTTGAAGCGGTGGTGAGAATTAACCTGGAGGTAAGTTTGGAATGGGAGGGTGTTCAAAACCTGGGACTTTGTTATGGGAGTCCTTAGGTGGTACAAGACAGTTAAGTGTTTGGCTGCTAGTAGAAATGGTTTGAGCCCCCTCAGAGGCAGTTTACTGGATTCTAAGAATCCAGCCATTGAAAACCCTGTGGAGCACAGCTTCACCCTGACACACAAGAGTAACCATAAATCAGAGTTACCTCACCTTCTCTCATTCTTCCCAGCAGCTGTCTCCAGTTTTGGAAGACAACCCAAAATATAATGCTAAAGTTCTGCCTGCTGTTGGGAATTTATATTAGACTTGTGGTCCATATCCTCTAGAAAAGTCAGAAAACATTAAAGTAAAGCAGATAATGTGCACAATTGATCATAAACGATCTCTCTATATAATTTTCCCTTTAGCCGGCCTCTTCCTGCTAAAAGAAGTCCTACTGGAAGCAGCACATCTAGAGGTAAGATGGGTAACTGCAGACAAGGCAGTCCATGGAGGCCTCTGCTTTTGGTTTGTTTTAAACCTCAGGCGCAGTTCTAGCAGCAGGGAGCTTGTGACCTGCACTCAGATTCTTGTGAGGGTTGGAAAGTGTGCTGTTCCGCTTTCTGACTGCCCTCAACAGAGCTTCACACCCCTAGAGGCTGGTTTCTCTGATCGCTTGGATAAGACAAGCTGTGATGTTTGAGGAGCAGCAACTTAGTGACTATTGGAGACATTTTCCTGGTCCCTCCTGAAGGGGGGGGGGGGGGGGGATGTTCTAGGTAAGCATGCACTTGACATTTATGCCACATCATGAGAAAACCAGCCACATGTGAAGAGTTTTGTGTAATTTGACTATTGATATTAATCAGCAGTATGGTCCATTGGGAGGAGTTAATAGTTTTTGATTCCAGCAGATGAAACATCACAGATCAATATAGTTGAGGTTAGTGTTTCAATTCCCTAGCGTTGTACTTGGTCTTTGGTAACCAGGAGAATGTTAGTCATTGTTATGTGTGTACGCATTTGATTAAAACTGCATGTTTCTTGTCAAGAAAGTAAAAAACAACAACCAGATTTTAACAGTAAATATTGAGAATTCCGTGTAGTCCTTACTGACATTTTATCCTTAATTACTGTAGCATCTACAGTGAGTACCAAATCTGTGTCAACGACCGGCTCCCTCCAGCGATCTCGAAGTGATATTGATGTGAATGCGGCGGCCAGTGCCAAATCCAAAGTCTCCTCATCATCCGGGGTCACCCCTTTCAGCTCTGCTGCAGCTCTGCCCCCGGGATCGTACGCCTCCTTAGGTAACCACACCCCCTGACCCCCACAGCACATTTTCCTTTTAGCTCTGCCGACTGAGTGACCCTACCTTTGCTTCAGTTGTGTTGCTTATTTAGCAAATTGCAAAAATCCTATTGGAGTCCATTTTCACTGTCACAGGGCTGGACACTACGGCATAAGTAACTTTCTGTTCTTATTGCAGTTTCATAGCCACCTTTTTGCGAGTGTCCCCTTTCTCTGTTTATGAGCCTTGGCCCTCCTTATAGTGATGTATAAGTATACTCAAGCTTGTGAAGTGTGTGACACTGAGCACATCCTTTAGCCCGTTTCATATACTCCTTTGTGATAAGCCCTCTCTTCATAGACCCAAGCCAGAGGATTTTGTGAGGCAGTGTATAGATTCACCAGAGATAGTCATTGTAGCAGTCACACAATGAAACTTACACTGGTGGTGGTGGGGTGTGATTCTAAAGGGACGTGAGGGACTTAGTAGCTAACATACCTCTGCAGAGAGCTGTGCTCCTGGGTCCCTTTACTTGGGATGGTTTTGTGTCTCCTTTTGGTTAAAAAAATTATTTTCAGACCCTCTTTCCAAAGAATTATTATCTGACATAATAGTAGGACAGTTACTAATTTTTAACAGCAAACATGTAGCAGATAATATATTAAGACTGACTTTACTAAATGAATTTTATTTTTTTAAAAACAGTCAAGTTCAAAACCAAAATAGCGGAATTTAGCTAGATGATTCTATTTTGGATCTTAGGGATATGAATGGAATTTTAACTTCTGGAGATTTGATTTCTTAGGAAGCTTACAGAATACTTACCGAGTTGGTTCTAAAGTGAAAGTTCTGAAAATGTTTTGAGCATTGGAAATACTCAGTAAAGAACACTGCGAGAAGGTTCATGGGTCGGCCATTTATTCTCTCTGCGGCCTTGGCCTGGCCATAGAATCCTTGATTGTGTTTCTCCTTAAATTTTTGGCCATAATAGCCACCCAACTTGGATTTGTGATGAGAATCAGTGAAATTACATATTTAAAAAAACTGTCATTGCATAAGGTGAATGAAAATGTGATTATTACAGGAGCAATATTAATTTGAGGGCTATTGCTGGAATATTTGTTAGAACAAATCAGTCTTGTTTCACTCTTGTAATACTTCAGTCAGACATGCATTTCTGTCTGGAACAAGCTCAGTAATAACTCTCCTTTTGCATCAATTAACTATTGCAATGCTCTGCAAAAGTGTTTATATTGTTAACATTGAATTAGAGAGAAATAATCACTCTTCTCTCTTATGGCGAATCAGTGCTATTCATTGTAATTCAGTTTTAAATTTCTTACCTGTGTCTTAATATATTTGATTCACCTTTAGTATTTGTAATTGGTGTTTGTTTCATCATTAATAACTTGAGTCAAACCACCTTTTAAAGTACTTTGCTTTTGGTGACTATTTGGAATGTTTTAGTATGACCATGTAGGCTTCCCCTAGTGCTGATCAAAGTTCTCAGGTCTTTACATCTAATGAACCGACCTCTTAGAGGCACTGGTGACAAATTTCAGGTCACTGCTCATAATAAGATCAAGAGTATTCTGATTCTCTGACCTTTACCTGGGATTTATACTTGGACTTTCCTGTTTGTAGAAGCCCTAGTGGTATAGCTCAGCTGGTCAGCAGCTTGAGCCCACCAACCACTCTGCTGGAGAAAGCTGTGGCTTCCGTAAAGGTTTACAGCCATAGAAATCTACGGGATCGTTCTCTGTCCTACTCGTTCTACAGATTCTATGGCAGGGGTTTGAATTGATACATACAAAACACCTCAAATAGAATGTAATCTTACTGAGACTTGGTTACAGTTACTACTTAGTTTGACACATGGGCAGTAGTGCATCCTCCATTTGTGTAAAAGTGTATCGTTGAAGCTGATGATCCTTTTCCAAACTATTCTAGAGTCCAGACATATGAGGGAAGACATGGAGTACATAGGCTTTGATTCAGGTACCGTGCTTGACAGCTTTTGCTTCTGATCATGTAGTTGGGATAGGCACTGCTAGAACTAGCTTCTTGTAGCTTCTTACTTGCCTCTGTCCTACGGGTGACTCTTTAGTGCTTTAAGTTTTCATTTTCTTGCCTCTGTTCTGCTAGGATTTGACTCCAAGGAAGAGACACTTAAGAGGATGAGAATGGGCTAAAACAGAAAAACAGTCCCTCTCTCAGTTGCGGCCCTGCCATCTGTTGCCCTTTTTGATTTTGTGTTCCAGAGCCCAGCTGCATTCTACTAAAGCTGACTTCATTATAAGGCACACTGACATGTTTCAGACTCGGCTTGGCTCTTGAACTTTGTTTCCTTTAAATTTTATTTTAAATTATACTTTTGCTTTTTTAGTAGCTAATTACTGACATTTTTTCCTTTTTTTAAATTTTTCTTGATGTTACTAATTGTTCCCTGTTATCCTTTCCTTTGTTTTTTTGTTTTTTTGTTTTTTTTTGTTTTGTTTTTAATTTGCTTAAAGATGGTACTGCTACTAAAGTGGAGGGTAAGCAGCTTGTTTCTGTGATTGAGGTGTGTCCCCCTGTCACTGGTCCTCTGTCCCCACCCAGTGTTGCCTGGTGCCCAGCGTCTCACTGAGAGTCCTGCATGACATGTTGCATGTCTTCCCCTCCACTCACTGCCTTCCATCCTCACTGGGTTTTTGCCCCCACTCTACCTCGCTTCTCTTTCTCTGTTGTTAGTCATGCTCTTGTCACTCCAGGTACTTAGGTACGCTGGGGACTCAGTTTTAATGCTCGGTCTGCCCTCTAGGCTTCTGTCCTCACCAGCCACTTGTCTCGGGTTCTCCATCACCTTAGCTTTCCGTTTTTCTTTACTTCTCCTTCCTTTTGTATGTTTTTGGCTTCTCAGGACTTGCTTTTCTTTTCCTGAAAATAAATTTCAACATCAGTTATTCAGGTAAAGGCTGGTAAAGGTTTTCTGTCATGTAACTTTAAAAAATTGTTTAAAATACTTTCCTCTTCCCCTTAGATGCAACTGAATTATTGATGTTGCTTTTATCTGTATTGCTGACACGTGGCCTGTGCATCTACTCGTCACCCATGTATCAGTGCCTTCTGTGTGCTGTGTTCTATACTGCCCACTGCAGAGTGTATGGTGGGAGAAATGGGCAGAGCCAGGAGTATGCGTTCTCATTTTAGTCTGTTCTCAAGAAGCTTTTCCTGACTCTGCACTGCCTTCATAGTTTCAAACACGCAACTCCATTTGCCACAAGCTTTTTATTTGCACATACTAGAAAATACCCCTTTCTAGATGGCTAGAAAGCATAATAATACCTCAAATGATTGACGTGCTGAGGAACATTGCTTGTCTGCTTAAGATGGTTTAGACCCATCAATCCTTTAGGAAAACTGTTTAATAACTAAGAACATTTTGTTCATTTTCATACAGTATTTGTTATTAAGTTCCATTGAGTTGGTACTGACTCATAGTGACTCTATGAGGAGCGACTGGTGAGTTTGAACTGCTGACCTTGCAGCTCAAATCTACCTGGTGGTCCAGTGCTGATTCTACACCAAGACTCCGTACATTATGTGTTGGTGGTATGCCGTGAAGTTGGTTCTGACTCATAGCGACCCAGCGTAGGCTTTCTGAAGCTGTAAATCCTTATGGGAGCAGAAAGCCTCACCTTTCTCTTGCGGAACGACTAATAGTTTTGAATTGCTGACTTGAGGTTAGCAGTCTGACTCGTAACCATTACAGTACCAGAGCTAGCTAACCTGCAAAGTGGACTGGGTTTTATCTTGATGTGTGTAGTTCATAGTTCTATTAATTCATATGTCTCTTACATTACTCATAAAGAAAACAAATACAAATGGAATTTTTTTTTTTACATGAACAATCCTGATAACAGTGTTTCTCAAACGTATTCCATAGTAAGAATCTTCTGGATGAATTCTGAAACAAAACAGATTCCCGGGTCCTTCCCCCTAAAATTCGATTCAGTAAGTGTTAGGAACTAAGCAGCTGGAATTTTAAAACCAGCCCCATTGGAGAGTCTATGGTTAGGCAAGTTTGAAAACACAGCCCCAAATGAAAAGATAGACAAGAAGTTTGGGTGTACAATGAGACCTCATTTTTGAGAGTAGAAGACGGAGAGTTTTGGATATAATTGTGGATTGATTGATGATTTTTTTCATTTGTTTCCTGTGAGTAGTTTTTTGTTTCTCTTTCCTTATGAAATGATCCTAAGTTATTTCCTCAGCCTCACTGGAAGGGAAGTGAAAGTATGGAGTAGAGCAATATGGGTAGAATAGAAAGTGAAGACATTACATGGGAAATTGTTACTTTCTAGAATGCTAGGACTCCATATGCCAATTCAACAGAATTGAGATCAGCCTGTTACTCTACCCAGCACTCAACATTGTAAACCTCTTTTCTTACTTTAACCAGTTGTATAATTCTGAGCTAGGTCAGAAGATTGGATTCACAATGTTTGGTGCAAGAGACTAAGAAAAAAGGACAAGGAAGTCTCTTACTAGTGCTTTCTCATAGGAGAAATGGAGAGATGATATTCGGGCTCTTGATTTTATAGGTGGGGAGTTTATAATTAAGCTCTGTAGGATAAGCCCTGGACTGGGAACTGCAGGTTGGTGGTTTGAGTCCTCCAGCTGCTTTGTAGGAGAAGGATGAGGCTTTCTGCTCCCTCTCGGAAATCCTGTACAGTGTCACTATGAATTGGAATTGACTTGACGGCACTTAACGACATCAATTTTATAGAGAGTTCAGAAACGTACAAATGAGAACCATACGACAGGGAGATAAGTGAATCTCAGGTGTGTTGTAGGCTGTCGTTATAAGAGAAAAAGGAGACTTGTTTTAGTGAAACTTAGGAGTGATCAGGCTTTAAAAAGTTACAGCTAGGTCTAGAAAGAGGATGCTCCCAGAGTGCCTTGTCATAGTATATGTCACAGCATCATGGGTGTTTTTTAAATTTCTTAAAAAGTTTTGACTGAAAATTATCTAAC